GTTTTGTCATGTAATCCGGCTAATTTTGCATGCAGGGGGTTGCTTTTGAGAGTCGAGGATTTTCTCCGCCACAGGTTCCAATGCGCTTTACTTGAATCCAGTAAAAGATGCAAGATGTTCATTCGTTTTGTATTAGTTGACTGGGTAGCTACAAGGACATAAGGCAACAAAAGTGGCTTGTGCCCCTAAAAGTACAAGATACAATTAGCACCCAGAAGTTTGATTTTAGCGCGTTGTGTTGCGTTGTGTTATTATCATAATATTACAGTAGAAGTTCCCATAAGCAGACGGGAGCTGGCCGCTTACGTGACCAGACTTGAAAGGGAAAGATAGCTGTCTACGGGAGCTTGCTCACTTCACAATAAACATTAAGAATGCAAACTTCCGCCAAATTAATTTTTGTTTTTATTTTATGGCATCGTGCAATGCCGCGATAATGGCAATAAGTGCATGCATGTATACAATACTGTATATTGCAGCCTTCAAACCACAATTGCAGCCAGCATTAACATTGGCAATAACAGTCTCACTGCAACAAAAAGCAGTGTTACAGTTATCAAATGTTCACGCGTCTCTCAAAAGTCAGAGCCAATTCCTTTCGGGTGTCCGAAAAGTCTAGACCGTAAGCCCTCCACGGGTCCGCGGCCGCTTACGAGAATGTCCGCTTACGGGAATGAGTGAATACAGAGTTTGTATGGGAGTTCAAACGCCGTTTTGTGAAGGCGGCCGTTTGTAGAGCAGCCCGCTAACGAGAGTATCTATCAAGACAGCTTGCACTGTATACGATGTCAGAGTCTATAATCTAATAATACTTACATTAGTGCAAAATCGTGAAAACTGCAGCGCTCTTAAGGCAGTCTTCGTAGTCTTAGTTTTAAATAAAAACATCAAATGGAGAGTGGAACAAGTAAGACGCTTATAATTTCTCTTCACTATTGGTCCACAACAAGGCTAGTCTGAGAGCAAATACATATTATAAAATTTAAATTCGTACTTATCGTATCGAGTTTAAGAAGAGATAGAAAAAAGGGAAATGACGTTAAGCTATTTTTCTAAGTACATTGTTTTTTTCCACCAAGCTTGCCCTTTTCCAAACTGGAATACATTTCTAACACTGCCATCTTTAGTGTTCTATGGTCCAAGAGTTTTTTTTTTAGTTCATTTTTCTTCTCAATCGAGAGGAAGAAAGAAAGAAAACCTTTGAACCCAGGCTATTGTTCTTAATAGGTTGTTACCATTAATTAGGCACTGTGTTACAAAAATTAAACAATCACAGTTGTTATTGCTCCGATCTAGCGCAGGTTTGTGTTCTGCTTCTCATAATACTGTTTAAAGTTGGCGGAGCCACTTTAGAAGATCTTTGGTGAAGTTACCACTTGGTAAAGTTAAGCTCCTTTGATTGGTTTTCATTGCAGGTATACCTGCCATGATAAAAAAGCATCCAGTAAGTATGGAGCGAGTATTAACACTTCTAGTTTCAGAGTCAAACCTTGGTGCTGAACAAACTCCAAGTCAGTGTTGATGTAAACGCAGATCCTAACTCTCAAGTCTGTGATTTCAAATGACTGAAAGCTATTGAGCAGCACTTTCATGTGGTACTGTTTATTATGGTGTGCAAGGTGGTTCTAACTTTTAAGTCTGAGGATGAAACCCTAGTG